TGGCAATGGCCGGGCAAGGCAGGCCGGCAGCGCTCGCTCCGCTCCGCTCTTCCCTTCCCGTGTTGTCGGCTGGGGCGCGCGTGGGAACGGGGACACCTCCTGGGCCCCCGCGTTTAAAAAAAAAGAGAGAAAACTAACCGCGCTGGATGCGCAGCCGCGTAAAGGGGGAAAAAGTAATGAAAAAGACTGACTTCGGGAACATTCCCTTTTTGTATTTTTATTTTTTTGCGGGGCGCGTACAAAAACCCTGAATCCCCAAGGTTGGGGATGATGAGCTTTGTAGTTCCGCAAGAAGCCTTATTTCCACCCCCACCCAACCCCCGGCCGTTCCGTTAGGGAGTAGCGTAGAAAATCCCTCGGAGGGCAACGATGGGCTGCTTCTCTTTTTTTGCGTTCTTTCTCAACCCCCCCCCCCTTTCCCTTTTAAAGACAATAAATAGATGTCCGCGGTTTGGTTTCCTTGTCTGGGTTTTTTTTAAAAAAAATGTTACGGTATTTTATTTTAATTTTGGAAGGACGGGAAAATATCTGTTTAAAAAACGGGAGAGGATTGGAAGGCCGGAAAGCATCAGGCCGGCGTGGATGGGTGAAAGAGACGGAGCGGTCGCTGCCCCGAGGCGCTTCCAGTGGGTCTTTAAACGGAGAGGAAGGTCCGTGGCGCGAGCGAGCGAGCGAGCGATAGAAAAAGCGAGCCAGCTGTCCGGGGTGGGATCCGGACTGCAGAGGCTCTCCCCGTTCACTGCCCGGGGCCCGATCCTCCAGCCCTGGAGACCTCAGGAAAACTGCCTAAGCGACTCACTAAGAGATCGGTTGACCGAAGAGCGCATTATTTGGCTTTGGCCCTAATTTTTAAAAAATCCTAAATTTTCCTTCGGTTGAGCCGCTTTGGATCCTTAAATCTTACTCCAGGGAACCCGAGCTGGAGGCTCTGTTGTGTTCCGACTCTTGATTTCTAAGGTTTTGGGCGTTTTTTAGGTAGCTTATGTGTGATATAAGGCAAGAGGGGGGAGGCCACTTTTTAAACCCCCCCCCCCAAATCCTCTCTTTGCAAAGAGGAAGGAGGTCAGTTTCAAGATCTGGAGATCGAGGACCCCGGCCTCGGGCGGAACGAAAAGACGGGCGGCTTGGCCGTGCGAGGCGGCCGGCCGATGATCGTCTGAATCGCGCCGCAAGGAAAAAAGAGGGGCTGGTCGGGGGGGGGGGAAGCTTGCAGGCAGAGCCGTGGCTCGCAAGCAGAAAAGAGAAAGGAGAGAAGGGGGAGGAAAACAAAAAGCCATTGGGGGAATTTGGCCCGCGGTCTGTTCCTGGTAGAGGAGACGAAAAAAGAGGCATGAAAATAGCCGAGGAGGCGAGAGATCTCCTGATCCAGAAACTGACCTCCTTTCTCTTTGCAAAGAGAGGATTTTTTTTGGGGGGGGGTGTTAAAAAAAAAAAGGACCGCTCCGGAATTAGAGTTCAGTAAGCAGAGGGAATCCTTTTGCAAAACTCCCAAAACAAGGCGGAAAAAACCCCACATACCACACCCTGGGCCCTCTCGAGGCCCAGGATGCGTCTCTTGAGGTCCTTCCTCTCTTCCCCCCCCCCCAGTTTTTTAAAGTCCCCAAAGAACAAGGTAGGGGTGTGTGTGTGTGTGTCGTTGTAGGAGAAAGCAACCGGCTCGGTTTGCCTAGGTTAAGTCAAGGCGGAGCGAGGGTTTCCCAAAGCTAACTGTTGAGAATCTGTCTTTTTTTTTTTAAGTTGAAAAGGGTCCAGCATGACCAAGCGTACACAAGAGAGGGTGCTTAGAGACGCCTCCCCTTCTCCTTCCCCCTTGAATTTGAGGGGGGGGGAGGAGGACAAAAAAAAACCACAACAACTTTGTTTTGAAAATTTCAGAGGTTGTGTGTGTGGTCCAATCCCGGCCTCTGGTGGCGGAAGGTGGGATAGCAGGCCATTTTCTCTCTTCTCCCCCCCCCTCCCCACCGCGTGTTTTTCCTTCCCTGGCAAATCCTTGTTTTTTTTTTTAAAAAGATTTGTTTGTTTGTTTTGCAATGTTATGAAACAACCTTGACAGGCTGGAAAGGGGTGTGTGTTTTGGGACAAGAATCTCTCTTTTGTAAAACACACACGCACACACACAAACACCAACAACTCATTTTTCTTCTCCTGACCATTGCAGAAGTTGTCCTTCTGGGACAGCTATTTTGCTTTTTTTAAAAAATCTCAGCTTGCACAACACTTTGCTTAACATGCTCAGTGCCTTGTGTGTGTGCCTTTACCTTTAACCCCATGTGTCTACTGGCAACCTTTTTTCCCCTCCAGCTGGGGTGGGACTGCGTGTCCCATAATCCCCAGCCATGCCATCTATGTAGGGATTGTGGGAGTTGTAGTCCAGGAATCCAGGAGGCGCCAGGGTGGGAAGGCACATGTCAGATAAAGCCCCCAAGGCTTGTTCGGCAAACGGGAAAGGCACTCAGAACCGAACGGTGTTTTTTTAAAGCAGGTCTTTCATCTGTTCTGGCATGTTCTCCGGGTGAACTTATTTATGACTATTTATAGGTTATAGAAGGCAATTCTGCAAGGTCTAAAAATAAAATCTAGGCTCCTCCGAGCTTTGGTGTGCACTCGTGGGCATTCAAAAAAAATATATATACATCTCTCACTTGGTAGAAAGTCCATGTTTTCGTTTGTCGTTGTTGCCTCCCTTATCAGCTCAGGATGAATCCCTGGAGAATCCCCTTTCAGAGGTTTTAAACTCCCATTATCTTTCAGAATATTTTAGGGGTAAGCATAAGGAAGGAGAACCGGAGGGCAGGTTACTTTTAAATGTAAGATGCTTTTCATCTCACCATTGAAAACGTAACTTCAGATGAATTGTAGGCCACTGTCTTTCTTTTTAAACAGAGAGAAATTGGTCCATCTGTTTGGGTAATAATGGTTTGGGAGTTTTCCTTAAAATGTGGCGTTCTCTCTGTATGTAAAATAGATGACAGTGCTGGTTTTTTAAAAGAAAGTCAGTAAAAACATTTTGCACTTAAGAGGGTTGGGTATAGCTAGGAAAATCTCTCTTTTTTTGCTAGCTAAATCTGGGAAGGGTCACCCCAAAAGTGAACTTTTTTGAAGTTCTAGCTAATCGGCCCCTGTTTTGAAGCCCTTAAATACTCTAGCCCCCTCCCCTGCATAAGAAATGGTAGCAAGGCCAAGAATGGGCAGGGGAGGCGAAGATTAATTTGCCAGTTGCTGGGATTATCTGCCACCTTAAACCAGAAGCTAATACCACAGTCTGGTTAATCTCCAGCGTCTGCAGAAGGAAATGCCCCTTCTTAACACCTTATTCTTGGGTAGCTCGGTGCTTGATGCTGGAAGAAGTTCAGCTGTTTGTAATTTCTCCATCTGTCTTAAGGAGAAGCTGTGACCAAGTCCTGGCGTGGGCAGTCATTTAAAAAAAAAAAGAGGGAGAGATTTTAGAAACCGAATTTAATGCTTCCAGTTGGTTGCAGAAAGAGATAAGCCACCCACCCAGATGTTTTCCTGTAGGAACAGGTCAGGGAACACACCAGTCTTGTTTCCATGGGGTTTG